TGATCTCAGCATCTTAAAAAGGCTAGGAAGAGTATGTAGACAGACTGTGTTAGCTACAGTGCGGTGCTGCTATTGCCGTCACCCGGCCTTTTTACTCCTGTTCATCTTATCTTCAGGTGTAAAATGCAAAGAACACATTAAAAAAGCCCATATCACATACTTTGAATAATCTAAAGAATCATCAGCATCATATACACTGTTCATAATTACGTTTAAAATTTGAGGCTGCATGCCAGCCTTTTGAACTAATATGCTAAATCACTATTCAGAATTTTGAATTATCCAGTGACTCTGGTAGAAACATGGAATCAGTTTCTAGAAGAATGGTCTTTTGAGCTCTAACTTCCCCTTTTCACTTTGAACATTGGTGCTGATCTACCCATGTCCCATTTCTATAAAACGGAAATGCTTGTACATAAATTTCTCACAAGAATCACAGAATCACAGAATGTCAGGGGTTGGAAGGGACCTGGAAAGATCACCTAGTGCAACCCCCCTGCCAGAGCAGGATCACTTACAGTAGGTCACATAGGAACATGTCCAGACAGGTTCTGAACATCTCCAAAGAAGGAGATTCCACAACCTCCCTGGGCAGCCTGTGCCAGTGCTCTGTCACCCTCACAGTGAAAACGTTTTTCCTAATGTTTTTGTGGAACCTCCTATGCTCCAGCTTGCATGCTTGCTCCTTGTCCTATCATTGGGCATCACTGAAAAGAGGCTGGCTCCGTTCTCCTGACACTCACTCTTTACCTATTTATAAACATTAATGAAGTCACCCCTCGTGCTCCTCTTCTCCAAGCTAAAGAGACCCAGCAAGTCTCTTTAAGGGAGATGTTCCACTCCCTTCATCATCTTTGTGGCTCTGCGCTGGACTCTCTCAAGCAGTTCCCTGTCCTTCTTGAACTGAGGGGCCCAGAACTGGAAAAAATATTCCAAATGTGGCCCCAACAGGGCAGAGTAGAGGGGAGGAGGACCTCTCTCGACCTACTAACCACCCCCCTTCTAATTCGCCCCAGGATGCCATTGGCCTTCTTGGCCACGAGGGCACATTGCTGGCTCATGGTCATCCTGCTATCCACCAGGACCAGCAGTTCCCTTTCCCCTACGCTGCTCTCCAGCAGGTCAGTCCCCAACCTGTACTGGTACTTGGGGTTGATCTTTCCCAGGTGCAAGACTCTACACTTGCCCTTGTATTTCACAAAAATTCTCCCTGCCCAACTCTCCCACCTGTCTAGATCTCACTGATTGGCAGCACAGGCTTCTGGTGTGTCAGTGACTCTTTTCAGTTTTGAGTCATCAGCCAGCTTGATGACAGTGCTCTCTAATCCCACATCGAGGACACTGATGAATATATTCAATAGTACTAGTCCCAGTACTGACCCCTAAGGGACTCCACTAGACACAGGCCTCCAATTAGACTCTGCCCCATTGACCACAACTCTCTGACTTTCCTTCAACTAGTTCACAAGAATGTTAGAAAGGTTAATTAATTTTTGTAAAGAATCATCCTAATTCATCTAATCAGACCCAGACAAAATATACAATAGCCATTCCCACTATTTTTGCCCTGCAGTTACAATTTCAGTAAATTACTTTTTTTCAGAGCAGCAAAAGGAAAATGTTGAAAGGCTCTGAAGAAAACATGTTTTTCTGGTCAATCCACTAGATCAACTGTGCCAACTCACCTGATCTGGATAAATCAATGGAAAGTGGTTTTTGTCCATAGGCAACTCTAATTTAATTAGTAAAATATGAAGTGAAGAAAAAAAACCTAACCAAAACCACAGACCATGATGAGTTTAATGTCTCTTGGAGAAGGCTCTCAGCCAAGCTCTAGCCATGTTTGGAATCATAAATAAAACCATGGGAAAGCACACTACTCTTAATGCACACTCGGTTACGTTGAGATTACAATTGAAAAGGCTCACATGCTTTATGAGGAAAGACCATGTTTACAGCCTGTAAACAAGGAATGCAAGAATTATTGAGCAAGTAAATACATCAAGCGAATGCATGTTCAAGCCTTAAGCCTCAGTTTCTGAGCCAAGCTTTTCTTCTCCCTCAAGCTCTCTCTTCTACCTCACACAATTTCTCTCCCCAATTTCCACCACTGAACCAACACAACACACTACGATGAAGGCTAGAGACAAGCTCAGAATGAACTTGCTAAGGGTCCAGAAGCATTTCAGTCAGAACAGTATGGTACTGTGTCAAGTAGCTTTAAGCAAACCAGGCTGAGGAACAGAGAAGTATAATTTCAGTAACGCAGAAATAGGTGCAATTTTCCTCATCAAGAGGCTATATTAGGTGTTTCCAGCAGAGAATGCACCCAGATTAATGCACCACAACACAGTGTCTCTGGACCTCGCATAGAAGACTGAGAAGCTGTTGCTAAAGAGTTACAGTGAAAGAAAAACAGCGCAATCAGGAAAAACTTGTAACTGCAGTCCAGAGGCTGAGGACAACTTGTAGAGAATAGATAGATAAAAGATTTCTATACAAAAGGTACACTGGGTACGTAAGATTTCTCCAGACTTCAACAAATTGGTATGAGTATCCAAGAAGCCCTCCAGACCTCACCTACCCCTGCTGTGAGTCTCACCCTGTGAATTTGAATGGCATCGATTGCTGAAGAAATAGAATCAAAGAAGACAGGATTTTCAGATTCAAGATTTCCACCGTACTGCATTGCTTTTTTCAAGGAAGCTGGAATAAAATAAACATATGAACAATGAAAAGGTAGTCAAGATATATAAATCGTCATGTTGAAAAGCATGCTGTAAGCTGATACTTGCCTTTGCAGTGTGCGAGCAACACATCGATGTGTCTGTTTTTACAGTCCATGTAAATCTATATGTGTGAAAACGTGAAATTAAAAAAAACCCACAACTGTTTAAGATATCAGCAGATAATAAATTAATGCAAAAAAAGCATTAAATGCAGACAGAGAGCATGGGGAGCTGCTGTTGAAGCTGTACTGGCAGCATCCACCAGAGTGAGCCCTTCTATAATGCAAACACCACAAACCTACAATGAACTTCCTTCTCTTCCAAGTATTCTGCAGAGAATTAAATCTGAATTTCCTTTCCATATCCTTACCTACCAGTCCACAGTGACAGGAATCAGATCTAGGAAACTTTGAAACACCATACACATTATGCTACTTTCTGCAATAGGTTGTTCTTTATTCTTTCTTTGAAAATATTCAACTTCACAAAGACTAAATATTCAATAAGCTAGAAAGTAAAAAACAGTGAAAACTCCAGAACCACATTAAGGCCTTTTTCTGGCAGATGAGGAACATTCAAAGTAATCGCTCCTTTAAAAAATGTTTAAATAATCCACGTGAAGTGGAACAATTCTGAGAGAAGAGATTCAATGAGAAGCACATCAGAATATGTTATTTTTAAAAATAAACCAAAAGCATTACTAAGGTTAAAGATACCTCCAACTCTAGTAACAGTGATGATATTTCGGGAAGGAGTGTAATACAGAGGACACAGTGAGTGTGATCCTCTGTCTGAGTAACTCAGTTTTAGACCAGACATTCACTCAGAGCCTGCACTCCCAACTTTTACACTTCACAGCCCACAACAGACCTAACTCTCACAAATTTGTCAAACACTATGGTATAGCTTGTAGTTCTAATCAACTTCACTGTTATTTTTTAAAAATTTATGTTTTGTTGAATGCCCTGTATTTTGAGGGGGTACATAATAAAGAATAACACCCACTTAACTTATTTTTCTTTTTTACTGTCTCCCCTGCTAGCCTTTTTGACTATATATATAGTAAAGCAGCACTTCACTGCTTAATTACTGAACTAAATTGAGAAAATGGTTAGGATATGAAAATGTCTGGGCTGCGACCCAAGTTCAAATCTAGTCAGAAAAATTATATGAACCAAACCTATACGCACTTAAATCTCTATCCACTACACAACTATTAAATGCCAGAAATAATGAAAATGTGAGAAATAGCTTTTGAACATGATTTTTCATCTGCTATATAGAACGTGGAATCATTGGATTGTTTAGGTTGGAAAAGACCTTTACGATCATTGAGTCCAACCTCTAACCTAGTGCTGCCAGATCCACCATGAAACCATGTCCCTAAGCACCCCATCGACATGTCCTTTAAATACCTCCAGGGATGGTCACTAAACCACTTCCTTTGGCAGCCTGTTCCAATGCTTGACAACTCTTTTTGCAAAGAATTTTTTCCTAATATCCAATCTAAATTTCCGTTGATGCAACTTAAGCTCGTTTCTTATTGCCCAATCATTTGTTACTTGGGAAAAGAGACCAACCCCCACAATGCTACAACCTCTTTTCAGGTAGTTGTAGAGAGCAATAAGGTCTCCCCTCGGCCTCCTCTTCTCCAGGCTAAACAAACCCAGGCCCTTCAGCTGTTCCTCATAAGGCTTGTTCTTGGGAGCCTTCACCAGCTTCGTTACCCTTCTTTGGACATGCTCTGGCACCTCAATGTCTTTCTTGCACTGAGGTGCCTAAAACTGAACACAAGATTCAAGGTGCAGCCTCACTAGTGCCAAGCAGAGGGAGACAATCACTGGACTGGTCCTGCTGGCCACACTGTTTCTGATACAGGCCAGGATGTTGTTGATCTTCTTGGCTACCTGGGCACACTGCTGGCTAGAATTATTTTTTATATAACTTTATATATAAACAGTGCCTTTTAATATTGAATCTGTGTTCATCTTCTCACAAGTGATATGTTTATCCACTGATCTAGCCAATATAACTGATAGTTGACCTCAATAACTTGTATGTGTAATTATATTTCTATGTACAAGTTTTTTCTGATGTCACAAATACCTGAAGCAGCTCTGAGACACCAGTGTAGTCAAAGAAACTCAGTCCACTGCAGTCTAATATCAAAACACGTCGATCGCTGTGACATGACTGCAACGACTCACCTACACATTTGATAAATGAAACATTTTAATTAAAAGGAAGGATAGTCAATAAATGTGTATAAGAATAATGATAGTTCAACAAAGTATGCCCAAACTATCACAATAAAAGTTTTACTATTATGTACTGGGATATAAGTAAAGAAAATGGCTTATTTCAGAAGCACAAATGAAGGACCTTCAGTGCAATGGGATGAAGTGATGACAGGCAGAACATAGAGAGATGTTTTAGATAGAAATAATCTCTCAAGAGTTGAAGAATGGCTTCTTCAGTTTTTAATTTCTAAATAAGTCAAGACCGTATCTTGGCTTGCTTGGAAGAGTTTACGTGGGATACACAGATAATACACCTCTCAAGTTGTGGCATGGCATTCATTTCTGTAGTACCTAAACACCTGCCTGTTACCTAAATAATATCTGCCCATAAGGCAGAAAAATATGTAAACTGGAGTGTTTCATTTTCCTAAGGTTTTACTGTTCTGGTTCTTGTCTGATTATTTTTTTATATACTATCACATATTGATGCTGGAGATAAAAAGATTCAAGATTTGCAAAGGTCTTATCCTCATTCTTCAACCTCAGGCTGTCTTGACATTAAATTAAACACACCCTGTACTAAATGTGTCCTGAATTAGCACATAGATAAATGATTCCTGACTTTCATAAAGGTAAAACTACAAAATAATGCACATCTTAGTTACATTGATGAGTAAGCAAATGTCAGGTATCATGATGCACAGAACAAAAAAAAAAAAGATGAAGGAAAGAAATTCTGAAGGCAAAGGTGGGACAAGCTAAATGATTTTGACAGAGGAGACGTAAAAATTTTAAACTCTTGAGGGGACTTAAAATTCCCTCATAGTGTAGATTTATAATGGTGCTATTTCATTTTTGACAGTATTCTGAGATCCAAAGAATTTTTGGACATGCATCTCCAGAGATTTACTGTCTTTGTACTGTCCAGTCTAAATTAATAGATACATACCAAACAAAAAATACAGGATTTTAAAGGAAAACTCCTGTCCAACATTACTGTGATGGAAACTCAGAAACAATTTGTGAGGTCTGCCGGGCCATTCACTGTACTCATTCCTATGCACCTCCTCTGCCTCCAGAACAGAAGAACTTAGTCTTTCTCACTATTGCTTCTGCTACTTTGCCACCCAGTTGGCGTCCGGCGTTGCAGTACAGGCTGCCTGGCTTCTAAATGGGAATGTTGGTGGTGTAGGTACAGACCTGCTCCCTCTCTGAGCCAGTAGCAGGGGCAACAGCAGCTGTATAATTTGGTGCTGGTATAGACCAATAACAAATCAGTATTCCTCATAAAGAGAAAAGAAAGAATTTGACAGAGATGTAAATTGCCACACTTTCAAGGACAGCCTCCGTAAGGATTAAATATTATGTCCTTCTGCTCCTTCCTGAAAATTTAAGCCCAAGATTTTGTTTTTATTTTTATAGGGATTTTACTTTTTTCTCTCTGTTTTTTTTTTAATTTATTTTAAAGCCCCTGTGAAAAATAGCCATAGACTGGTTGATACAAGGAACAACAGAGCATTTAAGTCCTTAAGGCAGGACTCCAGCAATCAGTACTGTCTTTCACTTCTGTAGCATGAGAAACCAATTCATCTAAAAGAAGCCTGAACTATGTACTGGCAAGATCGTCTCACACACAGGGTGCCATACTCTCTTAGTATTTTACAATATAGCAGTGTATAGCCTTCGGTAGCCATCACCATTATGTTGTTATGTGTTAGAGCAAAGCACTGTGTCATCTCCAAGTAAACTAAACACTGTAGCGTCATAAAAGTGTCATGAGTCTAGTTAATAAATGTAAATGTTTAGACAATAGCCTCCAAATCAGAATCTTTGCTGTGGCCTTTATGCTTATAAGTATTTTAAATAAACACAGTGTTTTAATTCCATCCACAATGAAGTCATCGGTATAAAGTATCTTCTGCAAAAGGTTGCTGCAACTCTCTCATGGGAATGTATGAGCTCTGGTTTGATTTAAGTATTATAAAATGTAGGAAGAGTGGAATTATCCAGCTTAGTCTTTAATTGAAAGCAAATGCTTAAGGGTTTGGGTTTTTCTTATTTTACTCTACAGTATACTGATATACTGTACAATATTGGTGGCCATCATGTCACTGATAATTCAGTTGACTTTTTCTGAGATTTTCTCCTAAGTGGTTTATAAGATCACAAAGATCAAACATGGCTATAATATTCAATTTTTACTGTTCCGTACTAGTTTCAAATCTCACTGTGAATGCAAAAAACCCTCAAGATCAGAACTTAGCAAAAGAGCCTCTTAGAACTTTGTCTGAAGACCAATCCAGGCAGTAGCATGAGAGGTAGCTCCCCCACTGTGTACCTGTCTCAGGAAGCACACAGGGATTCCTGTGAAATAAGCAGGGACTCTTGCAGAAAAAGGTATTTTCATGGGTTCCCCGCTTTTGAAATCTTAAAAAGTCAGTAAAGAAGAGAATAAAAATAGGGCCCATTAGGCCAAGGTTAACAGAGTTAAACACTGTTTAGCACTCATGATTCAGTTAATGTCTGGTCTAACTGAAAATACTAGTTTCCAGACAACTTGAGTTCACCTAGAAATAAACAGAAAAGTGTTGAGTCATTTGGCACACTTACACCCATCTTGGTTTTAATAACATTTACAGATAATAAACTCACCGTGACAGCTTCCATTGGAAAATGAACAGAGCAGTGTGTTCTGCTCACACTGAAATAAAAGAAACAGACCGTTAAGGTAGCAAGGAAACCTAGTCAAATGCATAGTAAACAGAGAAAACCAATGCAATAGACAAGAATTCTGTTTCTCAATATCAGAATTAACTCCTTCTCTCCAAAATTATGTTCTATGCAACAGCCTATTGCATTTGTAATATTTGCTGAGTACATCTCTCAGTATTCTTCTAAAGCTACACCAAACTGATATTTCACTTTTCTTTTTATATGACTCTGTCATGCTTGGATGCACTAGAAAGCATATTATAAACGTGACACTTCCAGGGAAGCAGAGGTTGGGTAAGAAGGGGTCCAAAGTTAGGAAAAATGTTCTTGAAAGATATATTCAAGCCAGTGATTATGTAAGATTAAACTTTATTAATTTTCTACTTGCTGCAATCTCATCTCCTATGTTAATATTTTAGTGAGAACATATTTGACATGTAAATTTATTAAAGAATTACCTTTACTTGGAGATTTTTTTTAATAATAAATTCAATATGAATGTTCTCAGTAGAATATGAGTTAAAAACAGGAATACAGCACAGAAACAAAATCCAAAGTGCAATTTTTTTCACTCCCATTATATGCTCTAGCAAGACCTTTATTCCAAACCCAAAATATTTGTGCACAGTATTTCAGGCAGCTGTACTGCCAAGTACTTTGTAGAAGAGAAAAAAAGATAAAATCTCCCTCCTAAATAACTTATAGATTAACTTATTAAATTAGTATATTAACTTATTACGCTTATTAAATTAACTCATAAATTAATTCCATGCAAATCCTAAGTAATTTCTATCTGTTTAGGAGTTTATTATGGTACAAATCCAAATCTGTTAGCCTAGCAGAACCAAGGAAAAAAGTAGCACAGTCCCTGAGCTGAATTTCTGAACAATGAGGAGAAGCCACCCATCAAAGTATGGGTAATACAGCTCTTTGGCAAGGACAGCAGAGGTGGTAGACACATATTGTTGAACACTGTCCTAACAACTCGTCTAAGAAATGGTTGTGTTTTTCTAAGCCAAATTTGCGAAATTGGCATTCTATGGTACTTGAACGTCTTCACTGTAATGATAGAAACAGAGCAAGATATTTTTGTCCCATTTTAGGGAGTGTTGTAGGAAGTTGTAGTAGTTGTGTGCAGATAAACTCAAAAGAAAATACTAAACATGGAGATTTTCTCCAAAACTGATCTATACATAATCTCTATACTATTTATTTTTCCACTACAATCAGTGCATAAAATAAAAAGAAACAGTACGTTTGAGAAAAACTTTAACCAGTCTATACCTCCTTTCTAATTCTTTTGGAATTATTTATAGTCAGAAACAGAAATAAAGTGTCTGTCTCACATCAGCTCATCTCCAGCACAAAAAAAAAAAAACAACAAAAAAAGAATCACATCTTATTCAAGGTGATTTGTAGCTACTCATTGTCTTTTAAAAATCACAACCTTATATTAGCTGAGGTTATATGAGTTCTACCAGAAATTTTGAAGTGTTATGGGTCAGTACTTTAATGTCTCTTACAGAATCATATACAGAAACAGTAGATATCCTTTTCAGGTAATAATAAGAAAGTAGTCAATATTGAAGCTGATTCAGAGAATGATTAACTTTAGTCTACTCTAAATTAATCATTTGCAATACTACCTTTTTATACCTGTCTCAGTATCTGATTGCATGTGTTAAGAAATGCAAGGAAAGCCATCATGACCTTCAACACTGTCACCATGATTGCTGAAGCATATAGCACATCCTACCTTGCTGACATCTTCACATGCCTGGCTGCTCATGCTATCGTTTTGGATTATCTTTATCAGGTCAGCACGAAATTTCCTGGCATTCAGAAAGATTAACGGGTTGTTGGCTGAAACTATCTTTACCTGTTTTAGTGATTCCTGTGGAATGAAATAAACACAATGATGAAAAGATTACCTTGGGTTTGGAGACTAAAAACCAAACCAATTTCTTTAAAAATATTGAAAATTCCTGTAAATCAACCTAGAAGGAGCTTTGGGTTGTGAGAATGATTTAACAGATAACTGTCTTGATCAGTCTTCACACACAACTGAAGTAAAAAAGGTAATATAAGTAATCTATAAGGAAACTTATCCTTAATTCAAGCTAACATGAAAGAAAAATCATATTCATTATGATACATAATGCTGAGAAACAGTATCTGGCAAATAATAGTAACACTGTTTCTTTTGGTATGATCCCCAAACACAGACAGGTCAAGGTTTGTAGACAGGGAATATCTTTTACTAGGTAAACACACGTATCGGTAGAAGTACACAAGATTTTGGGAAAAACACTGCAAGTGGTTTCAAGATGACTTTAATACAACATAGACACTTCTCCACAGAAATACTTAGTGGATCCAGACCAAGCTTGAGTGACACATTTTAAATTTTACCAGCACATATCTACCACCGACACAATAAATAACCTATACAAGAACTATCGGCTGCCCTCAGTCCTGTCTGCACTTCCTTGAATAAGTTTCAAGCAGTTCATCAGGTACTTTCAATGAAACTGTGTCGATCAAAACATTGACATTACACAGAAGAACGATTTCTGAAGGACATAGGAAACGTTTCTACAAAATGAGCAGTATTTCTCTCATTCTCGAGGTGGACTTATAAAGCACCTTCAAAAGCCAATAAGAAAACTAATATTTATATATAAACATACTGGGTACCAGAAATCACAAGCTCAATTGAAATATTGGCTTTGTAGGTAAGTAGAATTAAACCTATTCTACCAAGCTCTCCATTCCACAGTCTGTGAACCACATCTCTTTTCTTTAGGAAAATTAAATCTGAGTCCGAACAAATTCAATGTGAAGCAAAGCTGCTTTGATTTCTGCTGCTTCCATTTCAGACTTGTGAAAAAGTCTGTCAGTCGTTAGGATCTTCCACTTTTTTCTAATTGTACTATTTGATCTAGTAAAAGCTCTTTATGGATATTCAGATAAATAAATTAATCTTTTGTGTGTCTAACGCTGTACACAGGAATAAGCAGAATCATGTGTAGCCTGTAAAAGCTACTAGTATTTTCAATGATATTTTCTGCTTTTTCTATGTGACAAGCATGCATGCAACTAGAGAATAACACGGCTCCTAAACACCAGCAGCCAAAGAAATAATATTAATTTGCCTTTGAGGTATGTCTTTCATGGAAGCTGTCCATCTCTACGTTACAAGTGAAAGTTCAGAGCGTTCTCCTCCCAGGTGGAGGAAAGGAGGATTCTCGAATGCACCATGTGAACACTGCACAGCAATGATTACCACTAGGTATTTTCACGTGCAAAATATGGTATCATTGATTGTCAGCTTCAACAGCCTCACTAAAAAAATATGCTCACTTTGGAACCATAGGATAACGGAATAGAATCATGGAATGATTTTTGCTGGAAGGGACCTTGATGATCATCTAGTTCCAACCCCCTGACATGGGCGGAGACACCTCCTGCTAGACCAGGTTGCTCCAAGCCCCATCCAGCCTGGCCTTGAACACTTCCAGTGATAAGGCATCCACAACTTCTTTGGTCAACCTGTTCCACTGCACGAAAACACCATTCTGTAGATTTTAATGGGCAAACACTGCAGCTGACACAACCTGAGGAGGTCAGTAACAGACCGTGAGATTTGATTTTGAGTTGTCCAAAAGGATTTCAGTCCACAAAAGCACTATATGCAATAATATCCTATTATTAAGTGCTAAAAGGAGTCTGGGAACAAAAAGTATCCATTTACTACTGAAATAAAATATCTCATTTATGTGCATATCAGCTCTCAGAAATTAATTACTTGTAACAATGGGTAACAGAAAGTAAAAAAACCCAAGAATTTGCAAGAAAATATAGGTTCAAAAATCCTCTCTTCTTCCTAAAAAAAGTTATGGACATGTAAAAAGGTCACACTCAAACACAAGTAAGTGCAGCTAGCACAGACCGTTTTTTAAGTAGTTCTAAAAAAGCATGGCACTGCACTGAAGATACGCAGTTTTCCCAACAGACCTTCAAGTTAAAAAGAAATGGAAATCTTCACCACAAACCACACAATCTACATTCTTATTGTAGACTTCTGTTTAGACTCCTGGGAACCAGATGATCTCTTGGACATCACCACAGAGACCATCATACAGACTAAGGAAACATTTCAAATATCCAAAACTGAGGCAATAAACCACAGACTATGTATAGCGACTTTGCACAATTTACCTATGAATGTGATTGTGGTAAATATTCTCATCACCAACATACCTCGGTCAGTTGAGCAGCATAGTCTAACTGGCAATTAAAATGGCTAAGGTTATGTGAAAGAAAGCTCTAAAATAAGGGCAAACCAGAGGGCAATATATTCTTGAATGGAGAAATACACTGACATCCCACAAAGTCCCAAAAAACGATACTCTACACAGCTTGGTGTGTGGACAAGTGGGCACTTTTGTGTCGTACCAGAACTGGTAAAGTGGAAGATGAAAACTAAGAAAGTCTGATGTGCAAAGGTCAAAGCCTGTGATGATCAAGAAGCTAATAAACTTCAAAAAATACAAAGTGGAAGACTTGAAACGCTCAGATAATAAGGCTAAATCAAGGAAATGGCAGACTCAGGAATAATCTTTGGTCCAAGATGGGCAAGAACAGCTGTGGCAAATTTGGATCAGTTATTCCTGGCTGTGGTTTGGCTCTATCTACTTTCTTAATAAGAACTGTTCTGAGAAAAATAGACTTCCTCTTTGTCATGTCTATGCTAAGAAAGAGAGAAAATTATCCCAGGTGGCCTATCCCCAATGTCACTTAGAAGGATACTGGCAATTACCTCGTGCAGTCTGCCCAGCACTGGCTATGCTTGGGTAAGAGCTCAGTTCAGTGAACGCCTGTGACGCAATGTCTTTCGCATAAGCTGCTAAATAAGCTCTAGATTTTTTTTTCCACATTAAAGTGTCTTTTCCCCTATTGATCAAAAACACCTATAAATCCACAGACCTTAAAGGCAGGGTAGACAATTAAGCTTGCATATTTTCATGTTTAAAAGTCCTGTTGTTTATGTCTAAGCTTTTATTTACCAGAGGAACTTGGATCAGTCTAACATTCATAAATTAAAAATTACCCTAAATGTCTGCTGCAACCCAGTGACTCTAAATTCAATTAGCAGCATTTTTCTAAATCTTACAAATATTTTCCTTCTCTGTTTTGTGTAATAAGTTCTTGAGCAATTTGCTTTCGTTACAAAATGTTGTTTCCCCCACTGTCTGCAGACACCAGTTTATTATTATTTGGTTACTGGCATTAATCTTAATGATTAAGGAAAAAAAACAGGGCAGCAGTCAGCTTAAAAAAAGAATCATATGGATTTGTACAAAATATTTTATAACCTGATATAAAAAAAAAAAGCAAGTAAATCAAACTTTGGTTACCCATCTCTGACAAAGTTATCCCAACATTTTTGTTAAGAATGAAAGGTGATATAATAATTGACAACTTCGCCAGCCTCAACAACAGTGTTTTTAATTCACAGTTCAGAGTCCTCCCCATTCTCCTGTACTTTTCACATTCCAGCATTGTTCAGCATGCCAAAACAGTAAACGCCCCTGAGCCAAGTTCAGATTTTGAGCTCAAGATAGCTCTGACGGAAAACATTTGCCAGAAAAAATAAATTCTTTAGACGAGAGTTTCTAAATGGTGAGGTAATAACTGCTGAGCACGTTGCTTACTGATACATAAGACCCTCCATAAGTGTTAGGAGAGGAAAGAGGACATCATAGGAGCTGCCACAGTGGAGAAGGCAGGATGTGCTAGTGATGGGACTCTGTGCTAAAAGGACACGTGGTTCTACTTGTCTCTTGGCTGCTGACCTACCACTTCATCTCGGAGAAGGGAGTTGACTTCTCTGGGTCATTACCTTTCTCTTCTTACCATAGGCCTGACCACAAGCAACATTCATGGTAATTGCAATGAAAATAAACAAAAGAATTCAAAATCTCTGACTGGTAGGTTTAAGTTTGCAAGAAGCTAAATTTTAAAAGCACAGTCTTAGGAAGAGATTCTTCTGTCTATTTTTGATGTGAGGGTACCCTTGTTTGAGTACAGGGTGGTGAGATGTGTGAAGTACTCTGTGGCAACTTGATACTGCTGCCCCTCTTTCCCCAGCCACACACCATGTCCTCTGGGACAGTCTAGTCCCAAAGGACGCGTGGCAGAAAAAGGGTCAGAAAAGACATTGTGGAAGGACTTGGAGGAAATAAGGAATTCTGAAAAGAATATAGAGACCAGCTACTGTCTGCTCAGATGGCCCTTGCCTGTGCTGCCAAGAGATTTCCTTGGAGTTAGGAACTAGGAGACTTGTGGAAAGAGCAATTCCTAACTTAGAGGTGCCAAATAAACTAACATAGGCAGATCTAAAAGGACTTGCCTAACTTCACTTTGCAGACCAGGGGCAGAATCAGGAAAATATTCAAATTTCTGGTGCCCAGACTAGTTTTGCATTTACTGTATCATATTGGCTTTGGATTTCAAGTGGTCATATCATTAAAAATGTTCCCTTAACTCACTGATTACAGTCTAATAACCAACTAGAGAAATTAAACAAATCTGAATTAGTGGCACACACACATACACACGCACACACACGAAAGAGAATGTCACTTACACAGTTATCTTCTGTCTTGTATTTATGTTCCACTTCTTTCACATTTTTCAAACTCAGTGTCTCAGCTCTGTAATCAATACACAGAGAAAATTTGTAAGGCAAGTTATTATTAGTCTTGAACAAAAACAGGAAGAGACACACCCGAAACCTACAGCATAGAAGTTTAAAGTTGCATACACATTTTTGTGCATATAGAGCTTATTTGTTTGTGATAACAATCCAATTAAAGAGTAAAAAGCACATTTTAAAATTGCATCACTTTGAAAATACAAATAATGGACATTTTTGGTAAATTAAATCTTAATTTTCAGTTTCATTACTGTTGTGTAGCTGGCCAGAGAGCTATTTTTAAGTCAAGGTGGCTAATATATTAGCTACAACTTCAAAAGTACAGAGGTTTAACTAATAGTTTTTACCTAAAAAATCATATTGTAGGAAAAAAATAGGTAAAAGGAAAACAAAGATATCAAACAGTTATGGGTCATGAAAACTAAGAATATTTGATTTGTCACTAAAATTGACACATTTGCATAATGAAGCAGAACATTGCACTCTAGCTACCAAAGTAGGGCACTTAACTGGAAAAGCCAGTATCCCTACGCTCCCTACACAGTCAGTGAAAAGAAAGTTGCCTTGAAAAGGCAGCTCAGTGTAGGACCTTCTACCTCAGTACATCATTTGCAGGAACACATTTAACTGCACAACAAGAAGAGTACAAAACTAGCTATCACAGAATCACAGAATGTTAGGGGT